TTACATTTTTAAACTGTGCACAGGAAATACACCCACAAAATCCAAAGATAAATTGTGTGCATCACTTTTTTGCAAGCTTTTAAAAATGCAAATGAAGTAAAAATTTAACTTTTATTTGGGTTCGTATCTGTACACTACAAGAACATATTGTGGATTGTGTATTAAGAACAACTACTTCACTAGGAGAGTGGTAATGCACTGGAATATGTTACCTGTGGTGGTAGGGGTTGAATCTCAATCCTTAGAGGATTGGCAAAGCCCTAGCTGGGATAATTTTGTTGGGGTTGGTCCTATCAGTGTTCCCTGTAAGCTGTGTGCTTGGGCTACCACCCAGGAGAGATTCAGGTGCTACCAGCTGATAAGCAAAGCACCCTCAGCAGACAGTATTTTTCTATTGGAGGTGCACCTCTGTACATGCCTTGTGCACATAACAAAATTGATTCTGCACATGGAATAAAATTAGAGAGAACCTTGGTCCTGCTTTGAGGATGGAGTTGGACTAGATGACCTCTGGAGCTCTCTTACAACCCTAGTTTTCCATAGTTTTATGATATGACTAAATTCTTCAGCTTTCTTCAGTTTAAAATTTACTTATCAAAGTAATTCCCGTATTAGTATTTTGATCCTGCAAGCACTTATACAGTATTTAACAACATGGGCATGAGTAGATTTACTGAAATTAATGGGACTATAGGCCTCCCCACTATAAGTTGCCCCGGTATACATCCATTCCACACTAAAGTCATTGACACTTATAGGAACTGATGCATTATAAGTCCTTCCATTCCCTGCTCTGAAGTCGCGCAAAAAAAAACCCAACCCACCAATTTGTGCAAATGGAAGCCAGCTGCAGGAAAAAAATTCTCTGCTTTAAGTTGTTTCACTATAAGTCCAAGTTTTTGGAATGTATCTTGGACTTATAGTGAGGACGGCCTGTACTCACGTTTTTAAATTAAGCATGAGCTTAAGTTTAGCATCTGGGCCCTTAGCCAGCATTGTTAATAAATGCCTATAGCATTCTTCACAACTAAGTTTTGTTACACTAATTATTGCTGAATTGAAAGCATTAGCTGGTTGAGAAGATCTGAAAGAGCTTTTTAAATAAAAATCTTTGTAATGAACATTCAGTTTTCATTGGAATTGTTGTGAAGATAAGGTTTGGAAGAACCATTTCCAAAGGCTTAGATTAATGTTTGCCAAGATGACTTCCTTTTTCAACCATGGGATAGCTTTTAAAATATGTTGTGCTTCTGTATTAGAGTTTGTTCCTATCCAGGGCACATGGGATAATGTTACTACATGGACGGGATCCCAAATGGCACAGAACACAACCACTGCATGGCAACCCTGCTGATGCAGCTTTTCAGGTGTGCCAGCTGTGGAGAGCTAGATACACATGGCCGCCATGTAGCAAAGAAGGTCCAAAAACATCTCCAGGAGTGTGCAAAGACAGGAGGGTGTACTCCTTGCTGTTATGGATGTGTGACACAGGAGACTGCAGGTACTGGAATTCTGATTTCCAAACTACAACTTTTTCAAAATTTTATGATGAAAATAGTGTGTTCAGAAAACTAAAATTCAATAACTCTTTAATGCAGACATTTAAGAATGACCGCATAAGCATGTTCTTAAAACATATGTGTAAACCCCACTGAAGTCAATCCCCGCTCCATTGTTATCAAAATGAACGGGGTTACCTGCATGAGTAAAATGAGTAGAATTTGAATCTATATCAAGATTTCAGTTGCTAATAAAAATACGAAAAAATAAGTAAAACAAAATAGTAACAATTGCAAGTGTAATCTTCTAATAAATTATAAAAAATTCCCCTTGGAAACACGAATAAATCTGAAGATAAATTAGTTGAAATGAGAATGCCACTCTCTTTGTTAAAATAAAATGTGTGCATGTGTGTGTATAGATATAGATATGTAAAAATCATGCATTTAAGAAGAGATTAGAAAAGAAATCAAGTTCCATTTACTACATCTGAACACTTTTCTTATCGAAACAGAATTATTGTTCTGTTAAGCATCAAGAAAACAAAGCAGAGATATAAACTTTTTTTAAATAAAAATGCTTATCTCTGGTTGTCTGTTTTATCTAGCTATCATTTGTTGCATCTTATTCATTCAGAAAAGCACTTAAGCTATTGCTTAAATTCTTATCTTTTCAACTTGAGCACTTGCTGAAGTGCTCTACTGAATGAAATATTAACATCTGCTGGTACCAAGGCAATTAACACATAGGCCCCATGACAGTGATGGGCAACCTGCATCTGGTATTCCATTGGAAGTTTGTGAGACATTTTGCTGATGTTCAACATCATCAGGCACAGCCCTCTCTCCCTCCCCCTCTCCCCAGCTCCCACTGGCCTCAGTTTGCCATTCCTGACCAATGGGAGTATGGGAAGCTGCAGCCATCATTTCCCTGCGGCCCGTGATGCTTCATGCAGCCCGTGATGCTTCCCTCAGCCAAGGCTGGCCTTACCACGAGGCGAACTGAGGTGCCAGACTGTGGGGGAGGGCCCCACTAGGAGACAGAGTGTAGAAAATTGTGTCTGCTGCTGCTGCATATGTAGGTAGCAGAGCAGTACCACGAGAGGAGTAGAACAGGAAGAAGGCAGAATTGAGACCTTCCAAAGTTTTGTCCCAAGTGAGGGAGCATGGGGGTGTCATTTGAGCTCCTCGCTTCAGGTGCCAAAATGTTGTGGGCCGGACCTGCCCTCAGCTCCCATTGATCAGGAACAATAAACAGCAGACAGTGGGAGCTATGGGGAGGGGAGCATTCCAGTGGATGGTCTACCTCAGCAAAATGACTTGTGGCCCACCATTGGATTACCCTGATGCCCACCACTGCCCTGAGTTCAGGAAATTCATGCCAGTGTAACTAGACCAAAGTCCTAAAGCAGATACATACTCCCAATACAAATATATCATATGGAGTTATATGGAGCATGATTTGTATCTGTTTTGAGGGGGGGAAAAATCACTTCACTCAATAAAATTCTGTTAACTGGAGATTTTTAAAAATAGTTTGAAGTGCGTATTTTTAAATTTAAATCTCCAGTCAGTTTAGGGAGGGAGTTTCTTTAATTTGATCCACTGTTAACTAGTGCACAATGGATGCTTTGAATATTTTGACATGTTTCTGCTTTTTCTTGCTGTTTTTTCTTTTCAACAATCAATTTAAAAAAAGTTAAGATTAGCATTGTCTGTACATAAATTAATAAGTAATTATTTCAGGTTTGCAATTGATCCAATGTATTCTAAATATATGGGTTATTATGTTTCAAGTTTTCTGTGATGAGATATAACCAATTCATTCCATCTAAAGGTGATTATTTTCAAGATGTTTTACAAGCCACGTCTCTCCCTGTTATTATGCTAACAGTTGGTGGCAATATTACTGTACACATGCAAGAGTTAGGAATTCACAAGTCCTCCTGTAGCTCCTTCCACAAAATGTTTGTGTTATTTATGCAATACTCAAGGGGGTTTCTAAATGAAGGGGGGGAGGAGGAGGAAATCTCCATGGTAAGACTTAGCAGGATAAGAGGAAAACTTCTTTGCCCAGTCTTTGAACATATTAAAAAAAACATGCAGGATAAGCAACAGATTGTTGTCCAATTGAAAATATGCTTTTTAGCAGATATGTGTGTTTTCTCTTATTAGTAGGGTTGCCAGGTGTCCAGTTTTGAACCGGACAGTCCAGTATTTAAGCTTTCTGTTCAGGAAACAAATTGAGAAAATAGAAATGTCCGGTATTTTCTAAATAAGATGTAATGTAGATTGTGTTGTAATGTCAAGTGTGTCCGGTATTTTTGTTGAAACCATCTGGCAACCCTACTTATTAGCAATGCACCTTGTTAAAAGAAATCTGATTTCTACTATAAAATAAAGAGCATCATAATACAGAAGGGTAAAATCTGAAGTACATGGTAATATTAAAATTGATTTTGCTAATGAGAGTACATGGTAATATTAAAATTGATTTTAATAGGGACAGGATTTCACTCAAAGGTGAAATCCTGATTTCATCTAAGTCAGTAGGAGTGCTAATGGATTCACTGGGAACAGAATCATGCCCCACCATGTTAAAATGTGACAGCTGATCAAAATATAATCCCTTTCAAATGTCCCCTCTCTCTCCCCATATTACCCGGTTTCAGTTACCCTTAACTGCATTAATTCCTGCTAATGAGGATGATTAACCAAAAATACTATACTTTCAAATGATGGGTCAAATTCAGCTTGGTGTAAGAAAGTGCAAGACTCAGTATTTAAATGTAACCTTAAAGGAACTATATGCCCACCTTAATTACTGTATGGCAAGTTCCCATAAAGTTCTAAGCAGGTTACTCAGAAACCACATGCAATTTTCATACTCAAATACACCACACAAGCATCCTATGTTTCTTTTACTCTTACGTTTAGATTATTTGGTCTGGTTATTTAGATTATTTGATTATTTATCTATTACTATGTTGTGTGTGTGAGAGAGACATAATATTGCTCAGTCAGTCTTCAAGTGCCTCAGACCAACAGGGAAATCTGCCCTTTGAGATGTCTCTGCATAACAGATGACATACATATGCAATGAGAAACACAGCAGAGCCAGTGTAAAGTTTCTGCAGTGTATATCCCACCCCCAACAACTTGCATAACTGGCTCCTTTGATAGCTACCATAGTGCTGAACTAAAACAACCTAAAAGCCATCAGTGTGAGACCTGAACGGAGGAAAACTTCCCGATCTGAATAAAAACAGGAAACGACACAAAAGATATGCCCTACTGATAGTGTGAGTGGTCGTTTGAAAGCACAAAATAGCCTAGAAAATTTCCTACTTATCTCGAAGTACAAGTAATATTTCTAATATGGACCGTGTTAAGTGAAGCCCTAGAAAAAAATCTGGCATGTCGTTTGCTATTATGTACCTGAGAAAACAACTAGTAGTACCCGCTTGTAAAACAGAAAAAGCAAAGACACGCGAAGAGCTAGCTGAAGAAAAGATACTCGAACATTTAGCTTCAACAGGAGATAAACAACCAAGCAATGCCTGACGGTTTAAATCGTTCTGGACCAATGTTGTTATCCCTTCCTGAGCATTTTCATAATCACAGTCGGGTTTATTCATCATTTCTTGCGCACAGTGGTTTGGATTTCAGATTACTCTGCCCCCGAGCCTTGATAAGCAACTCTGCTTTTATCAACTCACATGCATGTCTCTGTGTTACTTCCCCAGGAGTTTGCTTTGCTTTCAGACAGAGCCTCAATGTCAGCCCGGCTGAATGCAGCTACAAAGAACTGCATCACAGACCAGACACGCTGCCACGTATGTCCATGCACCTATGTCCCCTCTCCCCTAGTTCAGGTGCACAGGGCGAGAACAGCGCCGGAGACATGCAGCTCGCTGCACGCCCTAGTTCCCAGGGAAGGGAGCTGGCGCGCGCTCCGGAGCCGTGTGTCTGAGCCGGCGTTACTTAAAGGGACTGTGCGTGAGCGCGTCCAGCAAGCCGCGGGCAGGACTGAATTCCGAGCGGCATGTTTTGCACGCTAGGACGCCCCTCAACGCCCCCTATGTGCAGGCAGTGCGCGTGGGAATGAAGCACTGTGGCACCCGGGCAGAGCAATCCCCGCGCAATGACTAGCCACAAAGGGGATTGGAAGACCATCCCCCTAATCCTCGCACAATGCTGCATCTTTCCTCCAACGGGGGCGGCCTGCGGTCCCAATTCCCGCAGGTCACGACCCGGCAGTGACTGGCTGCCCATGAAGATCTGCTCCACTACACCCCTGGGAGACGGATGTTCAACCCTCTTGACCCGCGCGCAGCCATGTACGCCAGGCGAGTCGCTGCGGACTCGGGTCCAACAGAGTCTCGCACCCGCTCGGAGCTGGTGCAAGGCGGCGGAGCCTGAGCCACAGCGCCTCCGCACGGCCACACAAGGGGGCTAAGCGCCTCCACCAGGCGCTTTCGGCGAGGCTGGCTCAAGGCTTGGGCAGGCAGCGCTTGGGCCAGGTTTTTATGGCGGGTGCCCGATGGGGGAAGGGGGCGATGATTTGGCCAAGGCTCCTCCAGCGGCGCCGGGGGGACTGGTTTAGAGAAAGTTCCCTCTGGAGGCGCTGGCGGGAGCTGGTGAGCGCAGAGGGGAACCGCCGGGCTATAGCCATGGCTGGCTCCTGCTCCAGCGGAGCGTGAGCGAGGGTTTCCCGCCGCAGATGCCCCGGGCCGACGGCTCACTCACCTCGCTCCCCGGCCTGGATGGAGCGCACGATCTCGTCCAGGTCCAAGTAGCGGCCGCTCTCGTCGAAGCTGTGCACGGCCATGTGGAACGCCTCCTCCTGGAAGACCACATGCACCCCCTCCATGGTGAAGTAGCAGTTGCGCTCCTGGTTGTTGTCGCTGTAGAGCAGCGTGGCCCGGCTCCACTTGTGGTGCCGGAAGAGGGCCAGGAACATCTCGCCCATCTTGGAGTAGGCGGGCGAGACGCGGATCAGGTGCGAGTACTCGCCCGTCTTGGTGCTGAAGCCGGTGGCCAGCGCCCCCGCCGAGATCATGGGCAGGTTCCAGTGCGAGGCCAGCCGAGCCACCGGGGCAGCCGCGTACTCGCAGACCGGCCCCAGCACCAGGTCCGGTTTCTGCTGCTTCAGGGCCACCAGGTCCACCAGGCTGAAGAGCGCCCGGTTGCCGCACTCGGAGTCCTCGTAGATGGTCTCGAAGCGGTAGCCCGGCAGGCAGGTCCCGTTCTCCTGCAGGCTCCGCACGGCGTACTCGATGCCTGGCTTGACCCTGGCCACGGAGAACAGGTAGGAGTTGTCCTTGGGCAGCAGCACCAGGACCCTGATCAGCTTCTCCTCCTCGGGGCTGCTGCTGCTTGCCAGGAGCATCCAAGCCGCCAGGACGCAGGGGAGGCTAAGTGAGAAGAAGGATGGCATTGTTTCAATAGCAGTGAGCTCCCTCCCCCCTCTCGCTGCTGCCTCCGAGTCCCCCTGGGTGCCCTGCACAGAACAAGAAAGTGCTACCAACCTCTTCCCCCTGCACACTTTAATACAGGGATCAAACGCCTGGGGTGAGAGGCAGCTGCTGGGCTCTCGCTCCGTTGTTGGGTGGCTTATTTTTAAGGGTGTTTTTCAGGTTAACTGGCCCAGCAACTTGCTATTGGTGGGGCATCTTCCTCCCCACGCGCTGCCTCCTTCCTGATCTTATTGATCCTCCCTGGTCTATAGCCCTGTGTTTAAATAGTGTGGGAGCCAACGCGCCTGTTGCCACACATGGCGCTGCGAGGCCGGGTTTGTGTTTGGGGAGGAGCCGTTCATTAACATTCCTGCAGGGCTGATCCGCCCCTCCGCCCTCCTCCCCCCCAAGAAAATCCCGACTCCCCCCAGCCCGCCACCCCTCTTCCTGTACCCAGCCAGCCGTCCATCCCGTCCGGGAGCGCTCTGATGAGCTGTGACTGCAAATAGGGGAGCAAGGGGAGAGGTGCGGAGGCAACGAAACAAATCGTTCTCCCCCTTTGCAATGCGGACTTTGGATATCCCCGCACCCCCATCGTGCGCGTGTCCCATCAGGGCGTGTAAAAGACGCGTTTAAAATCCGGACCTGGGGATGCGGCGAGCGCGAGTAACACGCACGAAGTTGGCTCGTAATGCTGTAGTAACTGTGGATGCGAAGCGGCTGGGCCAGTGCAAGAGGCAGCCTGTCCCGGAGCTAAAGCAAAGCACCGGCGTTTAGTAGCGCTGCTCTCCGGACTGCGAGCTGCCCTCCGAATGAATTAATCCCCCAGCCCCACCAATAAAAGATCCTGTCATGCAACAGCAGCCCCCGCTGGAAGTGGCAGAGTGGCTGTGAGAAATGCTCTGGGCAAAAGCACCCTGCAGCTGTTCTGCAGCAAGGGAAGGTAGCGGTCAGCTAGTCAGCGGTCCTGCTGGGATCAGCACAGGACCTGGAAGGAAGAGGACATAGTAGCTGCTTTCCTTGGGCCCCCAGGCAGGATCCCAGACAGAGCAGTATTATAGTGGGCAGTTTGGTACTGCGCTCAGCGTGCCACATGGGCTCCGGCTGAGTGGTACCTTAGTGCGAGAGCGCACCCATTGCCACGAGTGGAGCAACTCCTCGTGGTAGAACAACTCAGCCCCAGAGTGGGTGACGAGCGTACGGGCTACTTCCTGTATTTCACTGGCAGTTCCATGGGAATCAGTGGAGTAGCAATGTGAGTAAAGCTTGCAGTATCTGCCCCTAAATTAACATGTGCTAATTGTGCCCTTGTTTCTGGGGTTGTGTGGGAGAGAAAGCCCTGCTACTTGTCACAGCTTTCTTGGGGAGAAGCATAATTGAAACACTAGCATCCAGGGATTCCCAGAGGATAGATCTAAGAGGCTCACTAGGGTCAGGGAGTAGGTAGGATTTTGGATGTGACCCACAAACTATCCAGCAGAACTGGTCAGCAGCATGAGAAGCAAACTGCCTCCTTTAAAATGATGTAAATACCCCCACTCCATGCAACCGAGGAGATCTGGGAAACATTGTGCCACTCTGAGACAGTGCCCCATGGTGTAACCCTTAGAACAGTTCTGCATTACCCCTCCTTAGGAGCTTAATAGACACAGTTTAATTCCGCAGAAGACTTTGTGTGCCCCAGGAAATAAAGTGTCTAACTAAAAGCAAAACTTGTTTTTCACTTATATTATTTCATATAACGAACTTGTATTTACTGTTCAGAGAATTGCTTATTTAACACTATGCTTTGGTGTGAAAAATTCCCTTAAGTAGTTTGGACACCACTGTCTGACTAATTTACTTAGCTGTTGTCCATGGTAGAAAAAAACAACAATCTTGTTTTTAATATGTATTGCTAGCAAAGAACTATAACTTTTGGAACTGCCACTTGCAAATGGATGATTTTTTTCTGAATAAGAAACCTTTCTCAACACTAAATATTGAAAAGAATTAAAATGATATAGTGAAGGAAGATAGGAACAGAGTGGAGAGGAGAACTAACTGCATTTATCACTTGTAAATGCGAGATCTCTGTGATTCTGCATATTTCATATTGGTCAGTGGTCCTTGTCTGCACGCACAGAGTAATACTGCATAATGTTACATTTTATACTTATTAGGAGAGGCCCCAGGTTATACTGGTGGGTGAGTGAACTGCTTCTAACCTTACAGGAGGGGTCTGTTTAGCTCAGGGTTGAGGTCATTGTCAGGGCAATGTCTATAAACAAATTGTTGCTGCCTTACTGTACAGAGCGCAAATTGGAGACTTTGGTTCCTAGTGGAATCCAGCTGTTTGTCTTTGAGAGCAGTGAAGTCTGAATTAAACACAGGAGGAAACTACAAATGCTTGTAAAGCAATTAAACTAAGCAATGGAATTAAAAATGCCCAATCACATTATTTTATTTCCTGTGCACAGCAACTAAACAAAAATTAAACTAGGATATTTTTCTGGAATATTTATCAAATGGAGATTAGCCAAAAATAAGATGCAGAAGTTCTAGGAGAAGCAACTTGCCTGGAAGATATACATTTCAAGTAATTATGTGATTACTTAATTTGGTTTCAGAATGGTTTTTAAGTTAAATGGGTACATCTGTTCCAATGAAGATAATTTTGTATGCTGCATTGCCAGCCCCTGCTTTCCATTGACCCCACATGTCTGTTTATGACACTGCAACCTGGCAACATCTCTTAGTTTTTTTTGTTCAAAATTTGTCTTTCATTTGTGTGTGCTGCTTTTTGTCTGAGAGCATAAACTGTGCCAATATGGAAGAGATAAGAAGCAAACAAATCACAAGTCAGCCATCCTAATTTATTTTAACTACTCCTCAGGGAATATAAGGTACTAAGTATACAGGACAAAAATGATAAAAAGAAGACTGGAAAATACCAGTTGCTAATAGAAGCTTGAAGGCCAGTTTTGATATATAGATGCAGATTTGGATTTAGGCCTGCCCCAACCTGCAACTCTTATGCACTTGAGCATTGCCATTCAATCTAGTGGATATCTGCTTTAATAAACATTTCTGGATCAGATCCTTAAAGCACCAGGATCTTTTGGAGCCCAAAGTGTATGTATAACAATTTATTGTTGATCCAAATTGCATCTATCATTTAATCCACCTTCTCATGAGTAAAAATACAGTATGGCCACAAATATTTTCCAGGGCTATAAATCTAAGATTGCTTTCTCATGAGCAAACATAAGTAATTTCAGCTACATACACAATTGTTAAGAGGAAAATCTTGTACAGTCCTGAATCTTTTGTCAGGCAACATGCCCATTGGCTACAATAAGAATGAAGATTTCAGAATCTGTCCCTTTAGGATTAAGATAATTATGAAATGGTATTTTCCTCCCAAAATAGCATGCATACCAATCAAGAGTAGAGTCACTGTTCCAACACAAAGCATTACAGTAAATTGTACTTTTTATTCTGGAAGGCTTAATTCCTAAATTAAAGTTCCAGATAACATTAAGAACAGTTTATGAAGCCTCATCTAGTTTAAGAAAGTTCTTCTTGGGGGAGGGTTTGATGAAAACACAGTACCCCCTAGAGGTTGAAAAGATGAAAGAACTTAATACTGTCTGCTGTGCAAATAATTTCCTACTTTTTCAATTTTTAAATTCTTTCCCTGTTTTCCTATGCAGTTTTTATTTTATTTTGTTGTTATATTGTATATTATGGATGTGCTATTGATTCATTATATATCTCAGTGTATCTTTTTCATGTTTTTGTACATAATGTTAAGTGAAATGCAACCAAGCTTTTAAATGAAGATACTACAGCATGAAATTTCATGAAGGACAAAACTCATAACAAAAAATTAAATTAAACAAATTAATATAAGATCTTCTTTAATGTTTTTTCTTTTGTTATTGAAATACATAAAGGAAATTCACCAACAATGAGTGATGTATATTAGGGCCAAAGAGGATATATTAGAAAACCTAGTTTAATAATACAAAAATAATAATTAATAATGAATAACATTTTGGTTCTGTGGTGACTTCTATGTGCAGATCCCAAGTACCTGGCAGATTAACAAATTAAACTTCACTGTACACCAAGCCTATTTGAAAGATAAGTAAATATAATTAGTTCAGTTTTACAGATGGGGAAACAGAAGGGTTAAGGGGATTGATTATGGCCACACTAAAGGTCTGAGATAGATCATGGGAAAGAACTTGGATCATCTTCCTCCAGTGCTGGACCTTAACCTGTGTCCATTAAAGTATGAGTTCTCAGCTGGTAGATCACAAACAGGTGTTCGGGGTTTATACCTATCCTACTTCCTTATTTGCTAAATGGGGAGCGGAGACAGAGTAGTCCCAGCTACATGGGAGAAAGCTTCCAGGGGTGTATAAAAGGGTATCACAATATGGAAAAGGTTGGGAGAACCACTGAACGAGTCTATTTGGTATTTTCAGAGCTTTTGTTTTAGCATTTTTGAGTGTCAAGAGCAAATATTTTGTCCCAGGAATTCTTCTCTTGAGCAAGTTAAATATGTATCATGCTTTAATCACCTGTATGTATATGAAACCCCAGATATGTTATGCACTTGTTTCAACAATGCAAGGTAATATTGACAAAATGAGCAAAAATGGGAAAAATAAACCAGAAAATCTCTCTAGAGGACTGAAAGAATATAATGCTAACTACCCTGACTGTTCCGGAAAAGGGCCAGTGTAGACAGCCCAGTAGTCTTTTCCGGAAAAAAGCCCCGATCGCGAAAATGACACTCGGGCATAAGTCCTTATTCCGGAACACTGTTCCGGAAAAGGGCCAGTGTAGACAGCCCAGTAGTCTTTTCCGGAAAAAAGCCCCGATCGCGAAAATGACACTCGGGCATAAGTCCTTATTCCGGAACACTGTTCCGGAAAAGGGCCAGTGTAGACAGCCCAGTAGTCTTTTCCGGAAAAGCACTTCTACATTGGCCTTTTCTGGAAAAGCAGCCTGCCAATGTAGACGCTCCTTTTCCGGAAAAAATGAAAACGGAATAGTATTCCGTTTTAAGCAGTTCCGGAAATTCATGCCAGTGCAGACACAGCCTACAGGTTTTCCTTTGTGGAGAAAATAATAGTATTACTAGATATTTTTGCACAAGTGTTGTAAAACAAGAAACATAGCTTTAGCTAATGCCATGGTGTAGGAAATCATCTTCAGATCTTACAGGATTATGTCAAACTGAAAGGCATCTATCTGGTTTCATGTTAGAAAACTGATATTGGACTCATTTTTTATCTGATGTTAAGAACATTTATTTATTGATTTCCTGAAATTTAATGAAGTTGAGTACCAGCTTTAGTTTAATCAACTAGTCGATTGAATTTCCATCAACTAGTCTATTAGTCAATAAGCAAGGGAGCTGCAGCAGGGTTAGCTCTTGGCCCCAGGAGCCCACCCTGCTGCAGCTCTGCATTTTAAATGTATTAAGATCCAGAAGGCTCTTAATACATTTAGAAGGCTGAAGTGCAGCAGGCTGACCCAGTGTGAGCCAGGTCACACTGTGTCCCCTCTGCTGCGCTTATGCTTTTAAAATGTATTAAGAGCCAGCAGGCTCTTAATACATTTAAAAAGCAGAGGTGCAGTGTCTTGGGACTGGGCATGAGCTGTGAATCATCTGATTCCCAGCTCGTACCCAGTCCTCACAACCCCCTGCCCCTGCAGAGATGGTGCTGAGGGGAACTGGCACTCCCCAGCACCCCCCAGCACCGGCTCCTGCTCCCCCCCTTGTTGCCTTTTTTAGAGGCAGCAAGTGCACAGAAGTGACTAGTCAAGGGATTAGTCCACTATACGATGAGCTTATGCATATTGGCTAGTCAACTAGTTGACTAGTAGCTTACATCCCTAACCTGCTGAGAGTTCTAGGACCTGAAGTAAGGGCACGTCTAGCCTGCCCACGGCTTTTAAAAGAAGATATGCAAATTCGGTGCAAATTTTCATATCTTCTTCTGATCCTGTTTTTGGAAGAGTATTTTCTAAAAAAAAAAAAAAAAAAAGCAGTTTCGACACAGTTCTTTCGGAAAAAAGAACCCCTCTTCCTAAAAAAATGAGGAATACAGGGTTCTTTCAAAAAAGTTTTTTTTTCCCCAAAAGAACCAAATCTAGACTTTTTTTTTTTGAAAAAACTCTTCTATAAATGGGATCAGAAGAAGATATGCAAATTCGTGCCGAATTTCCATGTCTTCTTTCGAAAGTCGCAGGCAGTCTAGACGTGCCCTAATAAAATGGGGATGAAATTTAGCAGCGCAACTAATGTATATAGAGACTAACAATAAGAATTTTTGCTATACGCTGGAGACATATCAGTTTGAATCAACAGAAGATAAAAAACAGAGTATAGTGTTTGACAACAGGGTGACTATGAGCTGCCAATAAAAATGACGAGACCATTAAAATGCAATCCTAGGATGTATTAGATGAAGCATTTCCAGGAAAGACACGGAAATAATATTACCATTATATAAATCACTGTTGAGAGATCTCATCTGAAATACTGTGTGCTGTTCTTGTCTCCCATGTTTAAGAAAGATGCATTCAAACTGAAACAGATGCAGAAAAGGGCTATTAGCATGATCAGAGGACTGGAGGGCCTACCTTACAAGAGGGAGACTTGAGCAACTTAACTAACCAAACAAAGGCTTGGCAGGGAGGAGATGTGATTGGTCTTTACAAACACATAAACACCAGGGAGGCAGAAGAGTTATTTAAGTTAAGGCCCAAAGTTGTCACAAGAAGCAAAGGATACAAACAAGCTATCCATAAATTTAGACTTGAAATTAGATGAAGATTTTTAACCACAGTTGAGTTCTGGAACAGGCTTTTAAGGGGAGTCGTGGGAGTCATGGGTCAACAATTAACTTTTTAAAAGACTGAACTCCATGAGTTTATGGAGGGGAAGGTTTGATGTGGTTGTATACAATGGTATGTGGCCCATCTGCGGCTCCCATTAGCAAATATTTTCAATGGCTGGAGAAGGAACACTAAATGGGTTCTGAGTTACTGCAGATAATTCTTTCTCAAGTATTTGGCTGGTAGGTCTCGCACGCATGGGGTTGGGAAGGGATTTTCCCTGGCTCAGATTGAAAGTGACCCTGGGCAATTTTCATCTTCCTCTACAGCAGAGGTGGGCAATAATTTTTTGCTGGGGGCCACTTTGGAAATTTTTGAAGTGGCCCTGGGCTGCACAGGAAAGGGGGAGGAGGGCATCAAGCATAAGGGGCGGAGCATCAAGTGGAAGGGGCAGAGCATCAAGTAGAGGGGCGGGACCAATATACTTCCAGGTTCCCCAAACCCAGACAATGATTGATCTGGGGCTGAGGGAGTGCCTTTCCCCTCCCCCCCACATTCCCCTTAGGTGCCCATGCCCCTGGTGTGGGAGGAGACTTCCTGTGCTCCCTCGCTCCTAGGCCATTTAGAGCCTGAAGCCTCCTCCACTCTGCCCCCGCCTTGTAGTCAGTGCGTGGCACTTAAAAGTGCCATGTGCTCCTGGCAGGGCAGGAGGAGGCTTCGCATGCTCCCCTGCCCCCAGGCCCTAATTGGCCTGGGGGTGGGGCAGCAGAAGGGCCTCTGTGGGCTGGATCCACCCACTTGGTGAGCCAAAACCATCCCTTGAGACTCTTTTGCCCACCCCTGCTCTACAGCATAGGACATAGGTTACTTACTGGTTTGAATTAGACTAAATGGTGAAATTCTATCTAACTTGGGGTATGTCTACACTACAGAGAAGATTGAAGCTGCTGCTGTTGATCTTCCAAGGTTTTAATTATTGGGTCTAGTGAAGACCCACTAATTCGAACTGAGAGGGGCACTCTGGTCGATGCCTGCAGTGTGGACAGAGCCAAAAGTTGAGTTAAGGTACTTCAGCTTCACCTATGCAACTAACATAGCTGAAGTTGCTCATCTTAATTAGACCTTATCCCGTAGTGTAGATGTACCCTCAAAGTCCTTACATCAGTAATTCAGGCAGAGGTTATAAGCATATTGCTGGAATGGGTAGAGGAGAGCAGACTAGATCAGTGCTGGGCAAACTAGGCTAGTGAGTGGGCCGCATCTCAGAGGGCTGCAAGATTGTTGAAACCAATATAGTTTCCTGGGATAGGGCAGTTTTGCTAATGGTGCTTGAGGATTTTGAATTTGTGGGATATGCTGCGTGAACCCTAGCAGCACTTCAATTGGATGCAGAAGGCTCTCACAGTCAATGTTGTATACAATCAGCATGCACCTCACTTCACATGCTCTTACTTTACATACAGGTCACTTTAGTAATACTAGTAGGAAAAAATGGATGGAAGACAGCAGAATCTGGTAATCCTGTGGCATGGGGAACGGTAAATAAAATGTCTTGTGGACCACCAATAGAACCCCAATGGGCTGCATGCGCTAACCACTGGACTAGATCATGGCGGTCCTTTAACGTATGACTCTGAGCCCTGCTCCTGCTGCCATTGAAGTAAATGGTAAAGTTCCTTTGACTTCAATTCCGGGCTGTCAGTTAGGGGATGTGGCTGGGGAAAGAAGGCATAACTGGTGCACTTGTTTCTGGATGTTGCTGGAAGTCAGTACAACTTAAAGCAGCATGTAGACTGCTCCAATGTATGGCTCGGTACTGGTGTGGAATACAGCAGGGTGGAGCAAATGTTTCTTAAAGCAGCCTTTGCACATCCCCTTCCTTTGTTATGCACCCTCTGCATTTGCATCTAGGGATCAGGATGCATATCGTCATTTCCATACCTGTAGCATTGCTGTCTCTTCTGCTGTCTGTTGTGAGCAACAATAACCAGCTCTGAAATCAGGGATTCTTCATTAGCCCTTTCTGGATA